TGTCTCTCTGTGGCCCATTTGTCTGTCTCGCTGTCTCTCTGTGGCCCGTGTGTCAGTCTCACTGTCTCTCTGTAGCCTGTCTGTCTCTCTGTGGCTCGTGTGTCTGTCTCGCTGTCTCCCTTTGGCTCGTGTGTCTGTCTTGCTGTCTCCCTTTGGCTCGTGTGTCTGTCTTGCTGTCTCCCTGTGGCCTGTGTGTCTGTCTCGCTGTCTCCCTGTGGCCTGTGTGTCTGTCTCCCTGTCTCCCTGTGGCCTGTGTGTCTGTCTCGCTGTCTCCCTGTGACTTGTTTGTCTGTCTCGCTGTCTCTCTGTGGCCTGTGTGTCTGTTTCGTTGTCCTTGTGCTAGACAGTGACTCGACAGAACCAGCTGGCCCGGTCAGTACACACCCATGTGATTCTCCCAGGTCCTGACTGACGGGAGATGATGATGACCTCGTGACCTTTGCTGTGCAGCAGCTGAGTCAGTGCTCGACCCACAAATCCTGTACCACCGCCTGACGAGACAACCAGAAGAACCTGTAACTCTGTACTCCAGCTGTGTGTGTACAGAGTCTCCAGTAAGAGTCTGTACAGGTGTGTGTGTGTGTGTACAGTGTGGCCAGTATGTACAGGTGTGTGTGTATACAGTGTGTCCAGTAGGAGTCTGTACAGGTGTATGTGTGTGTACAGTGTGTACTTTAAGAGTGTACAGGGGTGTGTGTGTACAGAGTTTCCAGTAAGAGTGTACAGGTGTGTGTGTATACAGTGTCTGGAATAACTACTATTTATTCGTTGTATCGCATGTATACACTTATAAAAACTGCCACATGAGCTGACGACTTGGGCGCATGCGCAATTCCTGCAGTTATGAAATCGCAGCACAGACACTATAGTGACAATGTGCGTCTTCTGACCTTCACTTAACAACTTAAAGGATTTAGAATAATACAAGGCACTCAACGCCGAGCCGAATCTTAGTGCGTACGAAGGTTTTAAAGCTTCACACGAGTCAGACTTAGTCTGCTGTCACTTGCGTTACTTCATTCACAGCGAATTATGCGTTTTTAGCACTAAAGGCTTCAGTTCAAAATGGCACAAACAATAACACTGACATATACTTGCCTATGACGACTTTCATTGCGGAGGGTATTCAGAGAAGAAACACACCGCCCAGTAATTTAGCAAACAGATCCAACACCAGTTACTTCTGAAACCACTCCGCGGGCCAGTTGTCTCCACGCTCTTTGCCGTAGAATGTTTGGCCACGTGGTCTGAGTGTACCGGAAATGCGGTGAACATGGTATTACGGAGCCGCCATCTTTGGAAGGGCCTTAGCTGTACATCGCGCCGCAGTCTTTATGCATTGGTAGTTCAGGTGGGGAGCGGCGTCAGCATGCGTAGGCTGCAAAGGAACAAGTAATAGGTTTATTCCACGCCAAAAAAAGAAGAAAGAAAACACAACGTTTCGGCCGTGGAGCCTTCTTCAGGTGTGAGCCTGTCTTTATGCATTGCTGTTTCTGGAGATTTTAGATAGGTAGACAGTATTGCCATTGTAACAGTTCTGTTTTACTCTACTAGGACTGTAGCTCCTATTGTAACAGGAGTGTTCTACTGTACTGGACTTTAGCCCCTATTGTAACAGTTCTGTTTTACTCTACTGGGACTGTAGCCCCTATTGTAACAGGACTGTTCTCCTGTACTGGACTTTAGCCCCTATTGTAACAGTTCTGTTTTACTCTACTGGGACTGTAGCCCCTATTGTAACA